TAACAGAATGTAGCAGTCAATTTGTATAAATGTGAGAAAAGGATCAAGGGCTTTTCTTCACATCTTTCCAAATGTTGTGTGGTGTGTGGAGGCTTTTTTCACATTTATTACTGGTTGGGATGGATGAGCAAGGCCTTTAACTGGGGCTCTGGTTGCACTGAGCTGCACTAACAGATGGAAGCTGTTGGAGCATTGACTGCAAAGCAAAAGAAACAATTGCCTTTCTACTGGCATCCAGTGTTTTTTCCAGTTTTTTTAATAATGCAGAGTAATAAGGAAACATCTGTTTTTTCAAGTTTTTTTTAAATGAGTTAGGGAGGAAATGGTTTGCTTGCACTTGTCTAGTTGGAATAGTCAGCACTATTTTAAGTTTTTAGTGAAAAATCAGGAGAATTGTGAAGATATTCTAAGTGATTACAGTGCAAATAATGCAGGTATGTTTTCTGTCTTTTTTTAAACCATGTTCTCATATGTAGATAGGTCCAGCTCAAGAATCTGAAAGTTGCCTGGCTAAATCCCATTTCTCCTCACAGGAATGTAGATATCTAGTCAGTGATCCTGCCACGTTAAAGAAACCAACAACTAGCACTCCATTTTGCAACTGCATCATTCTATGACTTGGATAAATAAATGCAGAAATAAATATCGGCATTTTAGGGCAGATTAGCAGGCTAAAAATGATCTTCCCCGTGGAACTTGAAGAGCAGTGGTGGTGCAAGCAGCCTCGGGTGTCCCTTCAGGTGGGACCATTCTCTAGGACAGAGAGGGAGTCGTTCACCCTCCATCTCTGGTAAGACTGTGTTGGTGACTTTCCTGTATCACCTGATAATTAGAATGGATTTGAAACCAGCAGCTTTTTTCTCACATTCTTTGACAGGCGATTGAGAAACAAGCAGTTGTGTGACTACCTAGCTTCGAGGTATTTAATCTTGTACACTACAAGAAAAGCTTTACATTGTGGTATTTATCACTTGCTCTTATACTTTACTTCCCTTCAGACTGGCACACCAGAAATTTCATATTGCTTGTTTTTATCTTACTCTCCTTTTTCATGTTTCCAAGTACCCTAAGCACTCACTCCTAAAAGGATTATAATTTACTAATTCTGCCACTTAAAACTATTGTCTTACATATTTATTTCTTTTGATTTAAACGTGGATTGTTTATTTTTATTTTTGTAATTGACTGGAAAGTTTACCTATAATGGAAACATAGATAGGAGGGGGTTGAGCTTTCCTACTACAACTGTAGAAGTTGCTTCTGGAGCTTTCTTCATGCTTGAAAAGCAGAACTTTAAAAAAAATACTTTTCTAACTATTCATGTTGCCCATGAGCTCTCCCACTTTCTCTAGCAAGGTAAGGGAACACAGCAACATAAATGGGATAGTTCTGATAAAGTACCACTGAAATGAAGTAAATTGAGATAGAACTACCTGCTATTACTGTGCAACTTCTTGAATTTCCAACGGTGACAACTTTAATATTTTAAAGTAAAAAGACAACTTATTTATCTTGTTAAGGATTTGATCAAGATAAAGACTTTGTCTCTTTAAAGGGAAAAGAGGGCTTAATTCCTGATAGTTAGCTAAGCAGTTAATTTTTTTTACAGGAAATCTAAATTTAATAGAAGACCCCAGGGAAATTCAAGGGTGTGAACAATACGCATAATATTTTATGAAAATGACCCCCATATTTAAAATCTGGCATTATATGTTATGCATTGTAGCACCAAGTCCACATCTACCTTTTAGAAAATTAAAACACATAAATTCTGTTTAGTGTTTGATATGTGCTGCACTAGCTGAAAGCCATAATGCCCCTAAAACCTTGGGTTGCTTTTCACCTTTCATAAATTCCTGGGTAGATTCTATACAAAAAATAATTTTCAGCTCCGTGGCTCATTGTTATTCAAAGTTGATTGATTGTCGTCATTTACTCAGTGAGGAAGTTAAGTGCTCCTGTCATTTCTGAAGAGTATAATTGGGACGTTTCACAGGTCAGCGGTAGTGACAGGTTTCCCTTTTGATTAGTGTTAGACTGATAACAAAAATTACAGTTTCCTATGATTAATGTTTTCTATAGTACTTGAATGCACAGTTCATGGATTGTACCTAAACAAAGTGAATTTGCATCTGATTATGCCTTTTCTCTGTCAGGCTTTTCACATGCTTTAAAGTTTTAGATCATGCAGGTAATACAGCAAAGTTGCTTCCAGTGCAGTTTTCAAGTGGAGGATTAGTGAAGTCCACTGAATTTTAGTATATTACCATACAGAGAGATATGTGCCTCGAGTGATATGAACAAATTAGGTGAAATTTCAATTAAAGATAGTACTCTGCTTTACCTCTAGTCCTCTCAGATATGACATGCAGGGAAGTACTCATATTATATCCCTGCTATTTTAGGTATAATCTGGCAATTGAAGTTAAATAATCAGGCTGGACTGAGTTTTCATCTTGATAGTTTGATGCTATTTCTCTGTTCCTTAAACCTGTTGCTGTTTATTTGTTTACAGACTGAGTAAAAACTAAGGAAATACACTGAATTTATTTTCCCTGTTTTCAATGTGAAGGTTTGTCAGTTTGCACATTATGGCACGAAGTTGTAGACTAAGATCACCTATGACAAGTTTTATCTTGATGGAATCTTTTTTTAAGAGCTAGGTGAGAAATGGAACCTGAATATGAGAATTATGATGATGTCCTGCTTGTAGCTGGAGAAATCCTGGAGGTTATCTGCTGGTGGTTACTTCCAAATTTAAATTGTCCCTAATAGATGCAAAGGGAATGACAACACCAGCAGAATTTCAAAACCAAAATACAAACCAACTACTTTCTCTTCAATCTCTAGCCTTCTCCAGATGTGCGGTAGAAAATATGATGTTTTTTTTTCTTTCTAAAGGCCCTTAGGAATGTCTTCTAAAAGTTGTAGTTTCAGACAGATGTTCTGCTTTCAAATCTAGTGGCATTGGGAGTTTGTGATTAATGGTGGAACATTTGATCCTTTCTTTGATTAGAACTCTCTTTTGGTTTCTGGTGAGGAAGTCAGGCTCAGTGTGCATCTGTCTTGGCTGGGCATTCAGGTATGGCCTGAACTGCTGCTTTCCTTTAGATCAGGAAAAATTATTGCAGTGGGAAACAAAAACCAAGGGTGCAGGATCCACCAGCAGTGCCTGAATGTTGGCAGCTCTCAAAGGAGGGATAATTGGGTTGAGACTGCACTGGGGTCCTTACCTGTCTCTGGCAGCAGGGTGCTCTCCAGCACGATTGCCCTGAGACTTTATTTTTAAGTGAACATTAATTAGGTGTTCCATCGTAAGAATGCAATAGTAAATCAGCTCTTGTCATTGGGGCAGTATATCTGGTTTTTTTCATCTTCTTTTTTCACTAGAACTGCAGCTTTCTTAGATCAAAGTCAAAGATCACTTTTGAAATAAAGGGAAGAATCTTACTTCTAACTTGAACCACCCATTTTGTGTTAATGTATATCTGTGTATTAATACCAATTAACGTTCTGCATTAGAAATTAATGCAGTCCAGCCTACAATTAATTATGGCCAAAAAGAAATATTGATTTATATATTTTTTACAATGTCATGATTTATTTTAATTTTTAAACTGAATTTAATAAACCAATGTAGCTCCTAGATTTTTTGGCTTCAGAGTATATGTATGATTTAAAGGAACTCGGCTGTGACACACGATTAGAGTAGTGAATTAGATGGGGAAAATTCTGCTGCAGGCAAAACCTGCACTGTCCTCTGGTGCTTGTAACAATGAGTAGTTGGTAGGAATTTTGAGAAAAGCCAGGTGCATTAATAGAAGTAAAGAGCAGAGCTGAAAATAGTGAAAATTATGCTATTCCTTATCTGTTGGGTTGCTGCAATGAAGTGGAAGAAATGATAGCCTGTGCTAAGGTTGGATTTAATGGATAGCTCTTACTATTTCCTTGTAAAAGCATATGGTAAACATACAACAAAGTGTTAATTATGTTGTTGGGAATGAGGTGACTCTGAACATGGGCAAAGGAAATAAAGCTTAAAGTTTCCATCACTGTTGCCTTTTTATGGTAGTTGGCATCTGATTTTTTTTAAAAGCTCTGATTGTACAGGCCATGTCTGGTGACACAGATTCTTTTAGCTTATGTGCAATTTAGAAATAAATTTAATTTTCAGGTGTGGAACAAGCTTAGAAAAAGTATAGATTTGATGGCAGTAGCTAAAATTATATATAGGAAGCTACTTATGTAGATGAATTACACTTGTTAGTTAGAACTCTTTTTTTTTTTTTTTCACCTACTCAAAGATCTTCTATTTCAGACTGCAAAACAGACCAAGTGCACATTTAAGAAAATCCTGTTTTGTTGGTCTTAATCAGAGTAGTGTGCTGTCTGGTGGTATAAATGATTGGGATGTACCAAATCAGTTAAGAAATTAATGTATCAAATTATTCTTAATGCTGTTGTGAAGAAACACACTGAACCACTGTAGTGTAAATATCTGAATATTCTGCTTTGGGTCACTATTAGCTTGCCCATTCATCAGCTTCCCCTTTGTTTGTCTGCTGTGGTTTGGAGCATGTGATATCATTTAACATGCCACAGATTATTTGGGTGCTGCTAAATGAGTAGAATCATCCAAATGAGAAGAGGTAAGACTGTGACTTGCTCATTAAGTCAAAATCTTGATGTTATTTTAAGATTTTTTTGGACTTATTTTGTAGCTTCACACTTTCTCAGACTTCACCAACTGCATGTGTTCTAATGGATAAAAGGGGCTTTAAAGAAGCCCTTAGGATAGAGTATGGCTTTAGAGATAAAATGTTAAGCAAGGCCTAATCTTAGATAAAGATTAAATACATAATTAGGGAAATACTTTTGATATAGAGAAGTCTCAGTAGGGCTATCAGGATGTCTACAAAATCTTTTCAGTGTGAAGGGAAATGAAAAACAGTCTTCTCATTAAAATAAAGAGAAAATAACCCCAACAAAAATATCTCTAGATGAAAGCCTCGGATGATGACGATGATGATGAGGATGAAGATGAATTTGTGGAGGTCCCTGAGAAGGAAGGTTATGAGCCCCACATTCCAGACCACCTGCGAAAGGAATATGGTGAGTTTGCCCAGCTGTGACAAGCTTTATCTCTGCATGTTACTGCTGCACTAAGGTAAATAAACAGCCCTTCTGAAGTAATAAAGTGATCAGCAGTGTGGGTAATCTCTGCCTGCTCTCAGGAAATCATTACATGGACACCAGAGCAGCGATTGGCTCTGGATAAACAAATACTTTTAGGAGCAAGAGCAACTGAGACGAGCAGCTTATTTCATTCCATCATCTTCCACAGGATTTCAGAGCCAGAAGCAGCACCTTGTGTGCTTGTGAGTGTGCAGAACACGTGGTGGGAGTGTGTCTCTCTTCACTGGGAGTGAAAGGATTTCAAAGTAAAGTTGGCAATGAGCCTGAATTTTGCAAATACTGGTGGCAGTCTGGTGAGCTGGGATAAGGTGCTGTTCCATCACCTGCATTAGTAGCAGCTGGATATGCACAGCTCTTCCTCCCATTGAATGGCCAACTTAGAACTCTGCAGGGTGGCTCTTTTTGTTTAGGTATTGCTGTCAGGAGATGTTAAATGCAGCTCAGCCTTCAAGTGCAGAATTACAGCCACACTAGATGACAAACTATAATTTTGCATTCTTATTAGAAGTAGGTAATTTTTAAATGAAGGTATACTTACTGTGTGTTCTTGTGAAACTGAGAGTGGTGTTACTGAGGAAAGTTCATCTTAATTCAACTTCAGTGCATTGCTCCTTGTCCTTTAGGAAGTCTGCAGCTTTACCTCTGTGTAACTTGCTATCTTTGAGGATTCCAAAGATTTCAGTACATTGAAGGGTAGCTGCCATCAAAAAGCTTTAAGTTAAAAACCTGTAAGGAATGTCTTGCTCGTACCTTTGTCCATCAGTATTTGTGTAAGACTGGTGCTGTGCTGTGGCTTTTTCAATCCTGTTGATGCTTATTTTTCCCATTTCTGCAGTTTACCTCATAAAAGTCAGGCTGCAGCTACCACCTGGAACTCATTTTCCATATCTTTAGCAGCAGCCTAAGTAATCCTGACATGCAAAAGTTCTGTTTATACTTGGCCAGCTTCCACTAGAAGTGAAATGTATTCACCTCTTCCTTTTTATCCCATCTTTCTCATGGACACACATTTTTTAAAAATAAAGTGTCTTACCACCCTTTGTATCACACTAACACAATGCTTGACTGCTATTTGAATTCTTAGAGAGAAGGATAAAAGAAGCAGCCTACTATCTACTCAGGGTTATTTTAAAAATCTATATAAAATGGATTAAGAAAGTCCCAATTTGTATTTAAACTATTGCTGATAGGAAAATACATTATAGTGAAGAAGTCAATCAATCAGAAAACAAAACCTCTCTCATTTTGTATACCTGTGGTTATATAGGAGCTAATGGTCACACTTGGCTTTATCTTTATTTGATGTGTTCGTTTAAAACAACGTTTTGAAAGAAATTAATCATTCCTCATGCTTCTGAAGACATTCAGCTTTCCTTACTATCATTTAAAGGTATTATGTAAGTTCCTAGTTTAGGAAATGGTCTCAAAATAACTCAGAATTCCTGAAAATCATGGCTTAGAAAATGAAAGTCTGCATGACTGAAATGTTCTAACTGGAACATTAAACCTGCTATGTAAAATAAAATCCCAGCATTACATGGAAGGTGTGAATGGCTAAAAGCTTTTTTTCCTTTTGTTGTTACTTTTCCTGAACAAGCCAGATTAACTTGATACAGTAAAACAGAAAACAAAGCTGTAAAACATGACTGGAAATGGGTTGAAATGTGACATGTAAATTATTGATTTAAATGTCGCTTTATTCCCTTTGACTTGTCTCACAAAAATGTGTCCTACCAACAAGGTAAATTTTGTGGCTCTCCTGAGAGCTGAAAAGCTTGTTAAAAATGAAAATTTATTTAGAAAGACAAGTTCTATGCATAAGTGTGTAGACATATGCAATTGTGTCATCTGTGTGTTTGTCATTAATAACTACAATCTCAAAATTGGTGATGATATTGAATACAGAAATTGAATTGAGTATGGGTGCAGTTTGGGTGGAGGTAGAACTGAACAAGTCAATTTGAATCTTGATGTATAAAATGAAATGTAAATTTGTTAAAAGAATTTAGGTGATTAGATAATTGAACTGTGAAGATATAACCCATTAGAGGTGTCATGCCAAATTAGCATTACCAGAATTTTAATGACCTCCCATTTGTATAATCCTTATTTACACTTGCATCTGATGTCTGCAGCTGACAAGAGGCCAGCCCTCCTGTGGGACCACAGGGTCATTTAAAATACACTGTGGTGCTAAAGAGGAATATTTGACTGAAAAAGAAACAACACTGAAAATAATTTTTATACGGTTGCTGAGCTCTCACCACTGAGCACTGATATTGCTGATAGCACTGATGAGTGACCAGCCCTTGTATGGCTGGTATTGCTGAGCCCTGGAAAATGAAGCCATTATTCATTTAAAGGAAAATTTTAGGGAGAAATAAAGTCTTGTTTCTACTGGAGATTTTCCACATTCCAGCCTTTTCTGGTCAGCTGTTGGTTCCATTGACATAAAGCTTTAGGGTGGATGAGGCAAGGGGTGGAACTGTGCAGCCCCTGACATTGTTCTTGTCCCATAGAACAGAATTTTCATCTGATTCCAAAGGATGAGAGATTCCTTCCTGCCCTTGATGGTCTTGGCCTGGCTTGCAGCTGAGCTCTGAACCACATGGGAAATGATCTGTTTTGAGGGATGTGCTTTTCCACATAAAAATGGAACAATTCTCAGCTCTAGTTCAAAGCACCCACTTTAGTTGGTAGACAGTTCTTGTCTGTGTCTCAATGCAAGCATTACTTACCCATGCAATAATGCTTTGAGGACAGGGGAGTCCTACTGCTGTTTTACAAGAGGTGACACAATGAAACTGTCTGACTTGGGACTATTAGCATGGAAGCAGTCTATTGGTTATGAAGTTTCATCTTTATCCAAAATTATATTAGGAATGACTGTGCAGTCTCAAACCATTAATAAGATTATTTCTCTTGTATTTGAGCCTTAAGCTGAATGTTTCTAGGTTGCTGATAGCTACTTTACTGGTTCACATTGTATCTTAAAGTCTGCTTGAGATTTCTTTCATATGGGAATCAAAGCTACAGTTCCAAAATCCCAAGGGTTAGTTCTATCCATTTCTAAAATTCTTCTGTCTTTTCCTCACAATGTGATGTGCTTTTCTTCGGTTAGATGTCCCCAAACTGCCTTTCCTAATCTGATGGTATCTCAGTCATACTTTTCTGTGTGTCAAGGAGCTGCTGTTGTGAATCCTTAAACAGACACACATGTGCTGGCTAGATGGAAATTAAATATTACACCTAAGCAATTTCCTTCCTTACTGCAGTGATTTCTCAGTTTGTCCGGGTGCAGCTTTTCAGTCAGGTCTGATTTATCTGGTCTTCACACCTCAGGAACTTCTGAGAGAATTTTCCCTGCATATGAAGGATGTGGAGAACAATTTTATGTGGAGAAACAGCTCAGTGGAGACCACAGCAGAAACAAACCTGCAGGCTCCAAAGTATGTGAAGCACCAGTGCAGGGGCTGAATTTGAGACTTAGAATTACACTGTCTAAGCTAAATAAGGCTTTTACCCGACTTCTCTAATGGGAAAAAGCTCATCATATTTTACAGGGGCAATGTTAGACAGAATTACATATTTACGTCTTTGAAATTTGGCTTCCTTTTCCTAAATTTGGAAAATGCAAGCAACACACAGTTGTGTTTCTCAGCCTGACATGTCTAGTATTTAGAATAAGTTTTCTATTAATATTATTATGAATCCTTTAAAAAATCGGATGTAGTTACATGATGTGAATAGCATGTGTTGATTTATCATAAATGTATTGAAAACAGATATTCAGCATTGAAGTTAAAACCCCAGACCAGAATTTCTGTAATCAAATTTGTGTGGTCTCCATTTCTCTTAGGATATAAAACTCTAGAAGTATTTAATTATAAGTTTACAAATGAGATTGCCTCATTATATTACAGTGTTTTGATATACCTGTATATGCACAAACACAAGTCCTATATGGAATCACAGGATAATCATTAAGATTGGAAAAGGCTCTAAAATGATTATCTCCAACCTTTGGCTGAGTACCACCATGCCCACTAAACCACATCTACTCATTTTTTTAATACTTCCAGGGATGGTGACTCCAGCACTTCCCCAGGGAGCCTCTTCCAGTGTTTAACTGCTCTTTTCAGTGAAGAAATATTTCCTAATATCCAGCCTGAACCTCCTTTAGCACAGCTTGAACCTACAGAGACCTAGCTACACTTAGGACAATAAATGAGTAAAACTGTTTGTAATGCAGTATTCGGAATGAAGATTAACTTTTCACATTTATGAAAAAAACATGTTTATCCCTTCCAACAAAATATTTCAACATCCATTGACCATAGATATTTCTTCTGATTCATCCTGATCAGCTGATCATGGAAACTTTCCTCATTCTCAGGAGAGGTGTTTCTATGTAAATAAGGTTCCCAGAAAATCTAACAGGATATGAGATATACTTGACTTCTACTAAAGTTCTTGGAAATTAATACTCAGTGCACAAGATATTGGTACTCTTTCAGGTAGTTTGCCATAGCAGTATCCCTCAGAGGATCTATGCAATGGCAGGGGATGCAAAATCATAAAGAAGAAACTTAAAACGTCAGGTGGAAGATATAGAAAGGGCTGGATATAAATGCTGTATATTTGAGTTTTTCTAGTTCTTAACTATAATTGTAAAGCAGTAGTAAGTAGGGTTAATTAATGAGAGGTAACAGTATAACAACATATTCTGTAATTCTAGTAAGCCAAACTGAGTGTTTATGTAATGTTAGTGAACTCTTCTCATTAACTACCATAGTTATCTTTTTTCTTTAATATGAGTTTCCAAGATTTCACATAAATGAGCATAGCTACATTCAAAGGCACTGGGAAGCTTTGCAAAGTCCAAAGCTTATTGTGCTTCCTGAGTAAAATACCAGCAGGCATTTTCATTGTGAGCACAGTAGAGTAAGTGGGGAAACATTGTACCTGAACTGCTGGATTTTCCTGACAATCTGGGACAGTGTCTATACTAATATAAATCACATACACTTGGCCTGACTAAGATTCAACAAATGGGGAGCAGAAATTATTCATTTTTTTTTTCAGGGAAGGTGAAGTCCGTAATACTTGTTTATATTCTATCTCCGTTTTTTCAATTAAACTTCAGTGAATCTGAAGTAGCTTGATTTCGTCTAAATCCACACAGCTGAGGAAACCCGGGCTTACTTTTTCTCTGAATTTTCACCAAGGGGCTTTTATCTCCCCCTAATCCCACCATTTCTGTCAGGACATAATCTCTTTCTCAAATTTACATTTTAATTACAAGGCCAGCTGAACTAGCTAAAATCAATAATGTCAGCATTCAGCAGCCTAACTTCAGCTGAAACCCCAGCCTTGCTCTTTCCTTCTATAGATTTATCTTGTGAGCACGGGCTACTTTATTGCTTCAGGCAGTAGGTGCCATTTGGTCAATTTAAACAAAAAGGAGGATTCAAACACTTTTATGATTCTTTCTCAAAACTGCTATTGGCACAATTTCAGAACAGTACAGAACCCAGGTACTGTACACAGAACAACAGAATTCTGAAGAGGAATTTTACTTTTAAAACTGTACTTAATCCCATTTATGTTTTAAAACCAAAACAAAGCAACCCCACCCTGACACTGGACACATTCAGCTGGGGCTGTCTGCCTGGTCACTCTTGTCTTGTTAGCTAAACTTACTTTCATACATAAATCCTTAAAAACTCCACAGGGGAGGTGATGTTACTGATGTCTTAGTGTATCTACTTTTAGCTATTTTTCTGTTAATAGTTTAAAATAAGAAATCAATGAGAAAATATTTTGTTCTTGTAACTCTTAAGAATTCCTGTATTGATCTTCCAGATGTGATTTTTATCTGTCTAAATGTCACATTGTGCATTTATCTCTCTTGCCTTTCCTGTCTGTTGCTGACTGCTTGTCTCTGCTGCTCCCCTCCTCCTCAACAAAACCAGTGTTGTGAACAAGCAATCATGCTTTCTATAAACATCATAGGAAAAGAAATGGAAAAAATAGGGGTTTTGGAGAACTTTTAATACTTATGAACATATTTTCTCTGAAGATGAGAGGTGTGGTGAGTGACACAAACCTGCTATCTTCTGACTTTTTTTCTACTATTTGTAATTAGTATACATACAAGTGCTCTCAAAACATTTGCTTTAAACAATGTTTTTCAGAAAGGATCCTAAAAAAAAAGAAAAGGCGGTTTAAATGCTAAATACAGTCTAAGCAATTCTACATTACAGATAGTCTATGACATATTCTTCTCAGTTAACCTTGTTCATGCCAAAGGCCCTGTTAGTAACTGTTTCTGTCACTAAACAAAGTTTACTTCTCCAAATACTGATGATTCTAAAGTGTGGTTATAGCAATGTTTTTGGTTAATTCTGTTTCACTTTGGTAAAAGCATCTGAGAAAGGCATTTCCCTCTTCTAGCCTGTGACATGAACTGAGGTGGAGTCCTGTCTTGCCCCCTTTCCGGAGACATAAATTCAAAATTTTTGTATTATTATGTCTTTGAAGTGCTGTTTAAAAGAGCATTTTTGTGGTGGCAACATTCTCGCTCTTGAACAGCAAGTCGACAGCCTAATAAGTGTAGTGAAATAATTTCTTTTGCTGCTTAATCTAGATATTTATCTGCTTAGATCCATCTTATTATCATTTATTTTATTCCTGGTCCTTCTGCTAATATTGAGACTGTTTTCCAGTGTAGAGATTAGTCCTTTAAATTTTTATTTTTTTGGATAATGCTCTTTAAAGGCTTGTTGACTTTGGAGAATGTAGAGTGTTCATAGCTTTTGTGAGTGTGTGGTATGGGCAGGAGTGAGTAAGGGAGCAGCAGTGCCAGCTGTGCTCAGGAACACCAGCCAGCAGCAGGATGGGCTCTGGATTTTGAATTAGGATTGTTGCTGTCTCTGGGGAGAGGCTGTCCAGGAATTAGGTTAAACAGGTGTCTTTCTCAGTGCCCTGAGCTTGGAGCTTTGGAAGACAGGTTTGGATGTTGTTCCCTGCACAAGGATTCAGCTCCTGATCTAGGAATTTGGAAAATGTGTTCTGGGGGGTGGATCTCAAAGGCTGCCACCTCAGCATCTTGGCCTGTGGCTGGTGTTGTCTGTGCAGCTGCACCCCATGGGCTAAAGGGAATGAGTGATGGAAATGAATCAAGGTCAGGATGAATTACTGGAAGACCTTACAAGGTGGTAAGATGGGTCCAAGCAAATTTTTCTAGTTTAGTTCATGGAAAATACATTATTCTCTGAAATGAAAATATTTTGCACACCAAACCTAACTGTTGCTATGGGTCTTGCAATTTCCTACTCAGGTGTCTGGTCGCAGATAAAACATTAGCTTTTCCTTTTCTGCTTAGTGTATTGTGATACATTTAATGGCTAACAAATCAAGAATACTTCTGAATGCAGCTTCAGGGCTGTTTATAACTGGGCAAAAGATTAAAAGTTACAATTGAGTAATGGCCAAAACATGTAAGATAAGATTTAGTTACTTTTCATAAGAAGGCTCAGATAATTTGAAAATTGTAGGTTTATGAAATTAGGAATTTTTTATATGAAATTTAAGGATCTTTTTTGAGGGATGAGACCTTGCATTTCAATAAATTATTTTATAGAAAGGCTTTTGGAGGGGACAGATCACATTGGTGTGAGGGATTATATCTTTCCAATTTTAGCTGTCATTGCCTGAAGAGTCCTTGTAGCTACTACTGGCTAATGGAGTTGCTCCTCCAGCTCAGCAAGTAGCGGCAGGTGCTGTCTGACAGCACCTTACACATCCTTACAGTGCATGCTGAGTCTGTAATCTGGCTGTGTAATGTAATTAAAGTTACCCTACCACTGGGTTGCTGCTGCTCAACATCAGTGCCTGGTACTGCCTTGCAGAGGGCTCATTGCTCAGGTGTAGCTCAGGAGTTTCCTGTCTCTTGGACAAACTCTCTGGGTGTACTTCCTTCTTCTGCCAGCACTTAGGTGTTTTCTCCTGACAAACTGTGTGGTTTAGTATCTGCGAAAAACAAATGTCCTCTAAATAATTCTGTTTCATTCTGAGTGGGATTGATACCTAACACCAACTGAAAGCAGGAAGATGTAGTCAGCACCCTGAGCTGTTTGGGTGGAGCTATGAGAGTGGGAGAAGTGAATCACTCCTAAACATCAAGGTTTTTTTGCAGGGCTTGAGCCCCAGTCCCCTCCGAAAGCCCCGGTGGCGAAGGCATCGACAGGAGCGGCTGTGCCGAGCTCCCGCACTCAGCTCAAAGGGAATGAGGATGAGCTCGACCCAACCTGTGCAGCTGCCACACTGAAACTTATCAGAGACAAACTTCCAAAGTTGCCATCTCCTCATGCCAGGTCAGCTTTGTTTAATCCTTGCACAAACCTGTTGCTCTTGTGTTCATTAGTCATGACAGCACACAGAAAAGCATTCATGAGCCAGGCAAGCTGACGAGGCTGACTTGGTGTCATTTTGAAGTTACATTCATTGCTTAATGTTTGGGATTTTGTTGGTGATTGCACCAGGATCTTAAGGAATCTTTTACTGCTCGATTAATACAGATCTTATTTGGTGTAAATGGCCTTTATGGAAAAACACTGTTCCCTTCTTTGCTAGCAACCCACCCCACCCCGTTTATTTGGGTAAATTTTATTTGCAGCTAAACAGAGTGTATCCTAATGTTCAGTTAGCAAGTAGTTTCAACATCTCTTTGTTCCCAGTGACTTATGCTGTCAGTGCTGCCTGGAGATGTTATATTGCTTCCAAAGACACATTTGTTATCAGTCTTGTTCAAAGTTTGGTGAAACTCCAGCCTTTCTTGGCATTTGGCTGTGATTTGAGGCTAAGGCTGGAGTCATCTGTTTAATGGCATGTTCCTGGAAAGACTCTTCTGCATGGGTCAGGAAAGCCCCTGAAACCTAGCAAACTGGAATTAATCTGAGATTTCCAGTACCACATCTGTGGCTCCTGTGGGAGTACAACATGCATAATCCACTGCTGCCCCCATCAGATCTCTGGGCCTCTGCTCCCACAGTGTGATATGTGTTAGCCAGCACTGGCTGAACATGCAGTGAACTGCACAGAGTGTGTGGTGTTATATCATATGTCAAAGAACAACCTTGTAAAAGTAATTGTAATTGTACACGTAAGGTAATATTAGTGTTGGTCTAAAAAAATCTAATGAAAACAGAAAAAAAGAAAATGTTGCTGTGGTCATTGATGTTCTGTATTGACTTCTCATCTGTTTTCTCCAGTGAATCTGCAACTTCTGAGACAGCAAACTTGGAAGATCCTGACAGTAAAAGAAGAAAACTAGAAGAAAGAGCTAAAGCTCCCCTCATGCCTTTTGGATTAGATCTTCACTACTGGGGAGAGGATCAGCCAAGTGCTGGGAAGATTCTCAAGTAATGCTCTTTTTCTTTTAAGACAAATTAAACAAATAAATAGATTTACTTGTACTCAGAGGTCATGCAGTGGGGTGACTGCTATTTCTTTTGATAATTACTTTTCTTCTTTACCTTGTGTTGTAGGACCCATAAACAAAGTCAGAAATTCTACCTTTAAATGTTATTTGTTTTGAGAAGATGTGATACTAATTAAATATCCTTTGATGCTTCAAAGCACATTTTTTCTGCTCTTTTTATGTTTGCAGCATGGCATCAGTTACTCCAATTTAAGCTGGTACCTCATTATGCAAAGGACTCTGCCAAGTGTGTGATAGACATTCCCTCAGACTGAAGGAGGAATGTCTATCTCCCTCTTCCCTGGAGACTTTAAGATCTAAATAAGTAGCAGGCAAGGTAGGAGAAAGGCTGGGGAAGTGTTTTCCTGACTTCACAGAGTGCTAACTGAGGAAACTGATACGCTTATTCAGTCACACAGGAGAAAGGTGGCAGTTACAGGATTTGGATTTGGATTTGGATCTTTCACTTTCCATTGCTCACTGGGAGGTTTTGTGTTTCAGAAGCATTGCTGACTTAGGGAAAGCTTTAGCACTGCTGGGGAGAAGAGGTGGTAGGTACATATCAGAATTTATTTCTAGCAGTCAGTTTTTAAAACCCCTCTTAGTATTTTTAAATGAAAGTTGGGTTGTAAAGTCCTCCCTCTATGTATAAATTTCGTTTAAGTCCACCAGAACTTTGGTATCAAACCTGGCTTGAAAAATGCAAAAATCATTGACTGGCAGGGTTGGAAATTAAGCTGTTGTATTCTTAGCAGTATTACTTCAGCTTAGTTTGTTTTCTTACCAAAACAAACAAACAAAAAAAACCCCAAGCCTGTAATCACAGTGTTAAAAGTGTTGGCAGAAAGGAAGAAGAGGAAATTTTTGGCCCTGCACCTGATTTTGTAAAATGCTGAGTATTTGTTAAATTACCAAAAACTGGTGCAATTTGATGCATAAAAGTGCTTTACCACAGTCACTCCAGGCTTTAGATTCCATCTCATGTGGTATAGGCTCTTCAAAGCCTATGGAAAGATTTTCAGCAGAGCTTTAAGAAGCATTTGTCTGTGATAATGCCAAAAAGGTAGTAAGGCCTTATTTTACATTGCAAATGAGTTATTCAAGTCATAAGTGAAATCAGAAGCATATTTCACTGCCTGTCTGCCTCATGCTGTACTGTTTTATTTTTATGCTTCCCAATAAAATAGAGGGCACACTTCTGAACCGTATAGTCTATAACTACAGATGTGCCAATCTAACTAAAGATAATTTAAGTAACTCTGCACACACAATACCATTGACCCCAGGCATAAAATAGACTTATTGAAAAATTAAGGTAGTTATTGGTCAACTCCTCTAGCATTTCTATATGCACCCACACTGGCTCTGTAGGATTCTTAGGGGAAAAAAGCAAACTGAAAAATAGACAGCACATACGGGATGTGTATGGAATTTGAATTTTTAAAATCTGAAATGGGGAAGCCTTTCCATTTCATTTAGCAGTGTACTTACTTAATCACAGCATTTACAATAAATTAAGATTTTGACAATGAGAATGTAGCTACCAGGAAATTTTCTAAATAAATTTTGTTTGAGGGGTTTTTTTGGGGGGTGGAACAGAAGGTAGTGTGTGCTGCACAGTGTTGAATTGTGTAGAGTCTGCTATGTCAGCTTGACAGACTTATTTTGGATAGCATGGAACTTGCAAACTCATCTGCCCTCCTCCTTGAATTAAATCAGCTCACTCTTAGGAGCAGAGTAAAATAGCTGGTGCAGCACTGACTGTGACTAGGATGTTTGAATCGGCCCATTTTGCACTTGCTTCAGGATCTCTGTAAGCATCTGGGATTAGCATTTATATAAATTCAATGTTTTTATAAGATTCCTGTCAGATTAGAAATTATGATGATATAAATTCATTGGAAAAGTGCAGCAGTTCTCAAAGAGCTTTCTCTTAGATTTCAGTTAACCATTATTTGTATTTTTATTCTTCCCCCTCATGTATTGCTGTGGCATTGCCATTAAAGCCTCTGTTACTTATCTGGATTAGGAGCACTCTAAATGTGAGTGAGGTGTTGATCTTTTTCATCTTTTAGTTGATTATCTGTTCCTCTTCTGATCCATCTTACAAACAGGTTTTACTTGTCACATGCATCATTTTTTTGAAACAAGTATCTGCCTGTTTATAGTGTTACTTAACTTACAACAGGAAATCAGAAAACTTTGGGAACTATCACTGCTTTGTTCTTCTCTCACCTGCTTGTAAGTCACATTGGGAGAAAATAAGTTACATGATTGTGGTAAACAGTAATAGGTCTCAATATATTTGTAGGAATCAGGCTATTTTATACTGGTCAATGGTACATAGGGCAAAACATAATTTTAATGTTCTTGACATTTGTTGGGTGCATATTTAGGGGAATGGAGACGCAGAAATTATTAAATAGAACTATTTGCTAACTGGAGAGGTTGACACCACAACTGTTCAATGCTTCTTCATTCTCATGTAACTGTAATCTGATAATTTAGAGAGGGAGGGGAGTTCAGACCACCAAAGGACACTAGAATTGTACTAAGGAATTCTGTAAGCTAAAAATCCTGTATGGTGCCTTTTTTAGGAATGCTTTCCCCTCCGTGTGGCTGCAAGGTTAGTGACACAGAGCTGCCAGTCAGTCTTGCTTTCAGTATTGCATTGAACTAAGCAAATAAGAAATGTATGTCCTTTTATTTACTGTCTGTTGTACAATCTTGCCCCGTATTTTCTGAAGCTAAAATCCTGTACCATCCAAACATTGGGCTGAAGTGATACTGATTTTTTAGAAAGACTCTCGGGGCTTTTGGGGTTTTTTGCTACATTTTGCAGAAGTGTGTAATTAAAAATATGTCATTTAACCAAAAACTGTAGAAATACATTACTGTCTTTATTGTTGAACTGGCCTCCACTGGAACTCTTTTGCCTTTATCCCTTAATTTACCAGAAGAAAGTTATTTGTACTTTATGGCAGGGTAGCATTTCTGTGGCACTAATGAGGTGTGTTTGATGAGAAATTACTGGATAGAATCAATCTGTTTAACAAGAATTTTGTTGAACATTTTTCTGATGATGGCAAATCACAGAGATGTTTCAGAGTTCCCTTAATCCCTTTTTAACCTAGTTCTAACCTCTTTGCACAGTTTAAATGCTCAACTACTGCATTAAAATGAGCAGCTGTATATGTGGTAGGTTGCTATGGTCAGATATTTTCCTCTACGTTTTTTTTCCATGTCATCTGCTGAAAACTTGGTCAGATAAAATTAATCAAAACTTTTCAGGCTCTCTAAAGTAATTCTTTCAAGTATTGGCTTATGTGCTTTGCCAAATTGTGTGTGATGACTGGTGTGATGAGTGAAGCTAGTGTTGATGTATATATGGCTCTCCAGTCTACAGAAAGTAAAGTCGCAGAAGCAAGAATGGCACCCAAGGATATTAGTGAGAGGGATTGGATATGGGTAGAGAAAATCCTCTCAAATAACTCTGGAACTAATTGGGTCGAAAAACTATGTGGAAGAAAGGGATTGTAATGTTCCTTTAGGAATTTTATGTCCTTATCAAGATATCTGTCATCTAGGTATCTCTGCTTGTCATGAGCAGCAGACATGCAGGCTGCAATTTTTTTTCCTTAGTTTAGCTGTATTTTTTTTCCCCTTTAACTTCATATTTCCTTACATATGGAGTTGGATCGTTGTTGGTAACTTCAGATATTGTAAAATCAGATACCTAAACTTTAACTGGTCACCCTAATTTCTTTTCATGATTAAGACAAAGAAACATTTACCATCAGAGGGACAGTTACTGCCTCCTAAGATTAGCATCTAAAATGAGTCTAAAATGCTCTCTGGGGTTGCCTGTTTTTCACTACAGGCTGTTGGCAGCTTAAGGTGGCTAAAATGAAATTATATGGATAGTGTTGAGAAAATGTTTGTTTACCTATATGTCTGTAAATGTAGGTAAGATCTCTAATTTTAAAATAGATTTTCAATGGATTAGCCTGATTTCCTAGAGGAACACCTGATAATTTCAGCCTGATAATAAAGATCTATGGACAGTGTATAGGAGAACCTGGAAGAAAGAGTCTGTATAAGGCTCAGCTGATTGTTTACTCTTTCCCTTGGTCTCAGTTTATTGCAATATCCTGTGATTTCAGCTTCTGCTTCTCTGCTGCTGCAGGAGTCCAGCTATCAGGAATAAGATCAGACATGTTAAGATCAAATGGTTTCCTCCTTGATCTGTCTTCTGTGCTTAATCATAGAAGTATTTTGTTATGAAGAATGTTAAGTACAGAATTACAAAGCTATTCACTGAGTCTGGAAATTGGATAACTGACTCTGGATGTCAGATTGTGAACTAAAGCTAAGACTTGTAATAGCTTAGCAGGTTAAACAGGAAATCAATACTAGACAGACTTTGGTGGTATTTTAAAAATATCTTCATAATACAGGAGCCATAAGAAAGACTGGTAGATTCCTAGGTTTTTTGTAATTCACTAGTAGTGCTTCCCTTCCTTTCACATGTGAGTTTAGCACAGGTTAATAATGGCATCTCTATGTGTTTTCTTACAATTTTGTGTGTGAATTATTTTCATTTGTTGTTTTCCCAGATTTACATCCGAGCATCGATTTTGGGCACCCAGTGAGGTAGAGGAGGAGGTGGAAAATAAAGAAATAACGGAAATGTTAAAAACCAGGTATATAACATTTGCTGGCAAGTTTGAGCCAGTAAAACATAAATGTCGAGCACCCATGCCTGGTGGAACTCTCTGTGAAAGACAAGACCGGATTAAGGTAGGCACCAAGTTACATAACTTCCAAGATCTGTGCTGTATGGAGAAAATCTCCTTAAAACATGCATAAAAATTTATTTAGGTAAGTATAGCTCAAGGGAGTGGAGGAACATTGCATTCATTGTTAGTATGTGCTTTGTAAGGGAAGCATCGTTTTGGTAAAGAAGCTGTAAACGTTTAAAGAACTCTCACATTTTTTGGCATTCATTGTACGTTATTTGGGTTTTATTTATTACTGTGATGTGTGAGTACCTGGCAGTAAAGAAGAGATAGTTCTTTGTTGAAAATTTTTCCTCAGAGGTATATTTGATATTAACTGTTTCTAGAAACTTACATGTTTGAGGGACAAATAAATTTTATTTACGAATTAAGTTTTATAAGAGCTAAATTCTGCACAGCCTCAAATTATAAGCAGTGTCGAGCAGAACTACTTTCCTTAAATACTTTGTTGTAGTATCCCTGTTCTTCCTGTATAATTTGAGATTGAAGGATCTGAATGCACTTCAGTACCTTTAATGGGATTGTTACAGGATAGGGATGTAGCATAAACAACAACATATGATGCAGCATTGGTGCCCTAGTTCCAGACTTGACAGGATGTGCTATCTGGTCTCTTGAAATTGGATATTTGTTTCAAAAAGAGTTTATTTCTTTGAGATTATGAATATGTTGAACACCTGATGTTTATGAGATTCTGATGCTTTCTAAAGAGGACTGGAAGTCGAGTGTAGTTTTGTTGCTCAATTCCAGTTTCCATCTTTAAGCTGTGTTGAATAAAATGTAAACATTTTCTTTTCATTCAAAAACTGGTTTTTTTTCTTTCCCCCCTCTTTCTTACTCAAGTGCCCTTTCCATGGAAAGATAATTCCCCGGGATGATTCTGGGATTCCTGTAAATGCAGAGGACAGAGCCAGAGAAGAGAAGATGAAGTTTGAGAAGCAAGCGGCCCAGCCAGGTCTGTGTCTGTATAGCATCTTAAAAAAATAGAATAAAAAATAAAAATAAAAATACTAGGCAGAGGTGGAAAATACCTGTTACCTGTTTTGCTCCTAACCACATTCTTCTATTTGCATTCCTGTTGATTTTAAATTACAGCTCTTTTGCAGTGGTTCTTGCTTATGTGATAAATGTGGATGCATGTGTAGACAGAATAAGGTTAACATTGCATTTGTGCTTTATTTCCAGTGGCTTTTGTAATGTTCCCAACACTGCTCAGACAGACAAGTTATAGCCTTTGTCTTAAGGAACCTTTTTATTAAGGATGGTTGGACGTGTTCCCTGGGAAATGCTTGACAGTAACTGTTTCTATGCTTCTGCAAAGAAGATGTCTAATCTTGCTGGTCCCTAACATGGTGATTTATGCAATATAATGATAATATTACTAGGATCATTTTATTACCACTAGTATTGGGAGGAGTGTGTGCTGGATTTTGTTTTTAAACAATTTGGAATGGGCAACAAAAATATTGGCCTTCTGCTTGCATCCTGGCTGCAGCATTCAGGTGTGGAGGGGAAGGCTTCTTCTTCCCCAAGATAATTTGGGCATTTTTAGCAAGGTGAATGCAGGCAGGCAGTGAGTATACAGGCAGGAAGACTTCCAAGGTGAATAAGAGACTTTCTTGCAATAGTATGAGTAAACTCTATTAGTGATGGACAGAAGATGCATGGTGGACTACAACCAGGGAACTACTGGAAGTTGATGGACTGCAAAGGAAAATGGGAGAGAGGGATCTATCCAGCAAAGACACAGTGTATAATTGGAGGGGACAGCTTTTCTTTAATCTACCTTCCTCCAGCAGGTCTTCGTTTTCTCTGGTTTGAGCTATTTATTCTAGGTGAGTATTCTGCATTCTAACTACACTTACCCATAGGTGTTTGATATCCTGTGCTGTACTCCCTTAAAGGAGTTCACTCTTCAGGTTTGACTGATTTGGTGTTTGACAGTTATGCATATTAGTAATGAAACTACTGAACCTTTCATGAAACCTCTTGAGAGCCTGAGGAACAGTTACCTGTATTCAGATCAGGAATCTGTATTCAGAAAGGTCTGTGTGGAATGAATGTGCATTTAAAAATACAATTGGCCCACATGGGGTCCTTAAATACTTGTTTGACCATCTTTGAGTGACTGTGCTTGGTGATTACAGCACCACACCAGTGCAGCAATTACTGAACACCTCCTAGTATTTGCAGGTGTCTAAGTGCTACATTTGCAGGTAGTTTCTATCCCTGTCCAGATAGAGTAAGTATTCTAAACTGGCATCCAGCCAGCAGCACAGACACTGTTGGACTGTCAGAGGGGAAGCCAGGATAAGGGTGTGGATGTTGTGTTAAAAAGGAAAGTTCCCGGCTTAGTTATGACAAACTAAAACTAGCAAATTAAACTGATAGGTGTTCTTGAAATCTCAAACTAGAACCTAATATTCTGGTATAAAAATCACTTGGACTGAAAAATATTGATTTTTTTTTCCTGTGAAATTGCCATTGCTTGAGGCTAGACATAGTATTTATTTTTATTACAGTGTCAGCTCAGTGTTGTTAGAGGCTTCTCACCTCTGGTCCATAAGGATGTGTCTGTTAGTCCCAAACCAATGTTGGCATTGCTCCTTGTGCTATTGAGTGTGGTTGTTAAGCTGAGATGTCACACAAAGGTCCGTCCCATCTGGCTGGGGATGTACTTCACAAGCTGTGGCACTTAATTTGGACAAAACTCTCCATGTTTCTAAAGCCATACGTATACCAGATGTCATTAAATACTTCTATCCACTTTCTTTTCTTCTGCCTCGCTATTTTTATATCTGCTTTAGAGTATTTTCATCAACATTTTCTTTCTTTTTTTTTCTTTTTTTTTTGGCTTGTTTTGAGGCTTGTGGTTTGGAGGGATGTGTTTGTTTGATTTTCAGTGGTGTTAGGTTTTGGGTTTTTTTTTGTTACAAAGGTCTTGAAGCAAATCTGAGAAGTGCTGCTATGGGAAATACACTACTGGGAACCCACTGGGCAGTCAGGAACTGTTTGATTGACAACATCATTAATGATGGCAGTTTGAAAATTTTGGAAGAAAACATTAAATTTGGGGATCAGTTGTATGTTTAAATTGCACCAAAATTCTTCTTGCATTTCTTTCCTACTGGATGGTAGATTTATTTCTATCTTTGTGTGATTAAAGGGGAAAACAGTTCTATAAAAGTCATATGGTTTGTGTGCTAATGACTGTGTTTTGACAACACTGTCAATGTTATTATGGGTCATTTATTATCTTAGTACAAATTTAAACTCTAGCTAGAGTCCACAGAAAGGACAGAAAGGTGCTCTGGGCTCTTGAGTCATGAAACAGTGAATCAGGTGGGATTACGCTGACCCGCTAATCTGCAGCGTTCATCCTTTTCCAATAGTTCGCACACAGGAGCAAATTAAGTGCCTATTTTTTGTGTCAACCCTGAAGAGTATCTGGTTTTTCAGCCCTTAGTGACTTGTTAACAAACAGGTATCAGGACAGGCTGGTGAAGGCAGGCCTCTGGCCACTCAGATGTGAAATAGCATCTCTTTACTAACTACAGTATTGATTCCCGCCTACCCTTGCAAACTGTGTAATTTTCTTTTCCCTGCTGCTAAACTCAGTAACAATGTATGAAGAGCTTTAGGGGCCCATCAATGCTCAAAAAGCCTGCTCTTCCCTGGCATTCTATTGATTTTTCTCAAAAGCTTTTAAATTGCTCCTTCATTTTACTCAAATGCTCATTTCATCTCTACTGGATACCGGCATTTTTTCGTTGTGTTTAAACAATTGCTCCATTCACGGGGTTCCTAAACTGTGACGCCTTCTTATTACTGGGAGATAAACTGTTTAGACAGTTTTCCTTAATCTTGGATTAATCGTTCCTGTATCTGAATTGTGCTGTTCTGTATTCCCTCACTTAAAAAAAAAAATAGTCTGTGAAGTCTTATGATCCATCAAGTATATGTGTTCTATTTTCTCCCTTTTTAACTCTCCTGTGCAACTCCTGAACAGCTTCGTTTTCCTCATGCTCTTTGGCGTGTTGGATTTTAATCAGTCCTTGCTTTCATGTATGATGGTAGTTTAGATCTAACCTTTCCTTGGAAAATTGCTCTGGTATTCCTTAACACTGTGTTCTTAAGTGAGGACATTGCCTCTGACCTTCCTGAAATGTAGTTAGCAGTGTTTGTCACACTCAGTGACCATCTTGGTGTATAAATGGAGTTATATAGTCCTTTAGGACTGTTTATTTTTCTACATTTACAGAGTTGTTATGTAAGAGGAGTAGACATTTGGTGTTACAATTTCTGCAGGCAAGAAAGGCTGACTGACATAAGGGAAACTGTGACAAATGACTGGCAATTACCGTTGTTAAAATCCAGACTTCTGGCATTTCTGCTGAGTTTGGACCATGTTCTTTTTGAAGTAGTACTTCCTACCTTTTTTCCAACCCATATGCTCAAAGTCTTTACAATGAAATGAAATTTCACTAAATTTCCCCTTGGCAGATGTCCATCCTCCACCCACATTTTTACGTTGTGCTGCCTTATTCTGATACACAAGACTACACTGAAGGTGAAAAACTGCAGCTTCCTCAAACAGTCCACAGTCTAATTTGTTCATGCTTTTTCCTCTGGTGGCATCTTGGATCAGAATCCATTTACAGTGTATGGCTGGATTCTGAAGCATTAAGGATTTGAAAAAGTATAAAACAATATTTTCTTTAGATAAATTAACTTGTGCCATTGTAAAGAGAAGAAGCTTGATTTAGATAGTTAAATCGAGGCAATGTGGGATACTTAGAAAATAATGTCTTTTTCAGATGCAAAGTGGGTGTCACGACAACAGGGTCATGTTGTCCTACTCAAGAATTTTATGTAGATGTCAGATACCAGTTCATATTTTTAAGTAAATATTATTGATGAAAAGAAATCACAATGTTGGCAGCCCTACTCTGCTCAAAATTTGATATATTCCATTTTTTTAGGTTTATTTTTAAGCTTATGCAGAATTTATTTCTGCAGATGAGTTCCTCAGCTACATTGTTAGCATTTTCATTTCTAAACAATAATCACTGTGTTTATTCACCTCTCCTGCATGGAATAGTTTCCTTGGAACTTTTCTACTGTGCTGCTGAAAAAACTTAAGTCTTCCTACAGAACAGTTTTAGGAGCTACTAATACATACTAGCCCAGACTGGCAGAGCCTCTTCATCAAGATCTGTCATTTTGTGAAACTGCTTTATCCTCCCCTTCCTTTTTGTGTGCAACTTAGATTGCAGTAGCTCTGCCCTCACCCATTGGTGCCAAGAACCTCTTCCTTAGGAGACTGCAAATCCTTCCTGGGTTTGGAGTTTCAAAGTTCATGTTTTGTCCTTTGAACAGAGTGGCGAGACCCAGAATTCATGAGAGAAGTTGAAGCTGCTACAGGACTGGATCTTGGTTCCTCTAAAAGTAACGGGAAAGGACAGAAGAAGAAAGGGAAGAAGCAAAAATATCCAAATCTGACAGACCTGAAGCAGCAGGCTAACACTTCTCGTTCCCGGCTTGAGAAGAAAGTCTTCAATAAGTAAGATACTTCCATTCTCTAGAGCCTGTTAAATTACTGTTTCTGTTTCTACATTAACATGCACTTACTAAACAGCTTTTTTTGCTAACTACAAACAAGAATGTCTTCCATCTGTCTGGAGGGTAAAAAATAGCAAGTACTGAAAACCAAGGTTATTTCTTTGAGAGTAATTTTCAACTAATTTTCAAGATTTCCCTATGAAAGGCTTCTTTCATCCTGTGTCATTTTTTTTTTAAACTTTATTGATGGATTAGCTTCTCTGGATGATCATTTTTTGGTCAGGCACAGCAGCTCAGGTGGATTGGGAACCTGCCAGCCACTCCCAAATGGGCTTTAGAATATACAGTAGCTCCATCTGTCCACTATTAACACCATTTCTGATGCCTGTTCTTGCTTAGATGTGGCTACAACATAAATTTGCCTAAGCATGCTCTGGTCTTTATCAAATGGGAAGCAGCTGCAGCTACTTAAAGAGTTTCACATGTCAAGAATGAAGTAGTCAAAGGAAAGTAAAGTTGTCAAATCAAAAAAGGAAAATTATTACTGTAAAATCATTAATGGTGGGTTATTCTCTAAGCATACTGGATGAGTTGAACAGCGTCCAGGACACAATATTTTTTTAAACTAATTTTCCCATCTCTGATGTACTGGTTTTAATAAGAAAGCCAAATACACATTGCTTTTGGTTATGGAAATAGCACATTTTCTGTGAAATTCTCATGTCACCTGGTCTTAGTTAGAAGTCAGAGACATACAGTTCTAATGATTAGAATTTCATATCATGGTTTACTGTGGTTTGTGCTAATGATTTTGAGTGTGTGTTAGTGCCAGGCATAGGGAATCAAACCTGTCAAGTTTTTAATAGGTTTCATGCTTTGCAGCACTAAACAAGATGATAACCTTGGCTCCTTATAACAACCCCAAATTACTTGAAATGTATAGGTGATAAACCCAGGCTCTAGTCTGCCAATAAAGCTAAGTGAAATTGCACACAGATCATCAAAGTGGGATCTCATTTCATTTACAGTATCGCACAATCCACTGGTGCTAATGTAAAACCTACATGACATGAAAGTGTCAAGGCCACTCTGCACTGCTAAAGGCTCACTTTTCTCCTACCAATTAGGCAATATTTGAAGTGCAAAACCATGACCACATTTTCCTTACTCTGGTAACTTTATTGGCAGAATTTTGTTAAAAGTATACCTCTTCCAAGGTGTTTTTTTTCCGAATGTTGGTTTTCATTGCAGCTGATGCTGAGAAAATCTTTTATCCCACCATTTAGAGCGTTATTAGGAAGAAACCTCTGTTTTCAGATGTTTCAAAATGGCTTTGGAAATGAAGCCATTACAGAGAACAGTTACTTGTTTCTTGGAGGTAACCCTGGAAGCAGAGCTGGAATAATGTGTAGGGGCTGATCCTGAAAGAGGCTGAGAAGTACTGCACAGGTGCATGTCTTACCTTCATTTTCCTGCTCAGCTTGAAACATCCTCAGAAGTGATAAAGGCAGACTGTGACAACGTAGTCTTAACAGCACGGGCCTTGAAACCATCTACTTGTGTGATGGAACTTGCCAAACTCGTAGAAATCAAAGGAGACATCAGTCAGTGCCCTGTTTTTGAGGGGTACACGGTCCCTCAAACCAAGGCTGTAGCTTCTCTACCTCCCACAGCAGCAGAGCAGCCACATGTTTACCTGGAGATGTGTTAGGAGGCAACACTCTTCATAGGCAGGGTGACAGCTGAGAACACCTGCAAACATCAGCCTCAGATGAGCCTCAGAGCCTTTGTGCCAGGGGCATCTAAAGCAACCAGTAAAAACTGGAACTTTAGAATCCAGTGCGGAACAAATTTCCTGAGGCAAGGTGCCCTCAGCTCTGCACACTAGCAGCTTTAAGTTTCAGAGGGGACAGACATTCACAACAGAACATCTTCCTGACTGCTTCTGCTGCTTCTTACTCCTCTGGATTTGTGAGCCCATTCCTCTGCCTTACCAGCTGGAGGATATAAGGGCCTGCTCTCTCTCTCTCTGTCTTTTGTGACAATCTCCTGCTCCTGTTCACGCTATCTAGGCGTCATTTTCCCCACCCTAAAAATCTGAGCTGTGTGATCTTCATTCAAAACTTTGTGGAGGAGGAAAAAGTGCAGGTATCTTAAATACCCAGCTCAGAAGCATTTCAGTCCCTCCCTAGAGAAATCTCTGGGCACATCTTTACTGGGAGAAAGCAATAGCAGCCAAGAGAGCAGCCACAGGGAGACAGACAGGCCCTCACTGGATTTGGGAGCACCATAAATCTGAACAGCTCTGGATTTCATTCCCTCGCTTCCTTTTTGAGCTTGAAGAGCCTTCAAGCACAGCAGGAGCTGCAGGGGGCTCAAGTGCTTGCCCATCCCGAGGCAGCAGAGATCCCATTTCCACTTCATGTATGGATGAGGTATTGGACATACTGTCCTGCCTGTGCTAAACTCTGAGCTCTTCTGCAGCAGAAGCCTGTCTCTCTGTAGAGATACACAATAATCTCTGGTGTCTTCCTCAGCTAGAGTTGTTCTTGTGGATTAAAAGCTGCTGTGAGCAAGAGAGTCCAACTCAGCCCACATCTGATGAAATGGTTTTAGCAACCTGTGAAAGTTGCTAAATGAGTTCACATGAAATGAACAGCAAACCCTTCTCTCACAAAAATATTCAGGAGTGAGGGTTAGATTTCATAAGGGTTTCTGAGTATTAATTTTTTAAGATGTTGTTAGATCTTTTTAGGTTTCTTTTTTACCTGAGAGCACTTAGGTGCTTTTGAAAACCAACCTACTCCATATGGCTCTAAGAAGTAATACTGTGAGGGTGAAATACACAGCCATTAAACTGAAAGACTTGAGTTTGTTTACTCCTGTTAATAAAATAATTTCTGAATTAAACTATTTTTATTGCTGCAGCTAATTTAGTTAACAAGACAAATTTGTTCAGCCTCATCAATGCTATGCTCAGAAGCCTGGTAGTGATTAATCAAGTTCTCCAACATTCATAAGCATACTCTGAGATTGAGCAGACTCAACATAAGTGTTATTATTGCTCTGTTTCTCTTTCAGAGGTGCCATGAAACGGGTCGTGAAAGCCATGAACCGGGTGGACCAAAGGAAGCACGAGAAGTTTGCCAACCAGTTTAACTATGCACTGAATTAAATTATTAATCACCTCTGCCCTTCTTTATTACAAGAATGCAACTGCAAAACCCTTAATCAAAGATATTTGTATTTATACTACAGTACTTTGCTAGGCACATTTTTTTACAAGTGTCATTTTTAAATTATTTCCAAGTTTAACTTATTTGATAATGAATATTAATTTTGGAAAAGATGTGATGGTGTGGAATTGAATGCATTTAGAAAGCTGATAGTTATTTGAAATATACATGAAATAGATGTTATATGACCTGTAATTTGGGTAAACTATTCAGGTTTTGGGGCTTGGTTATTTTCCTTCCTAAGGGACTCATGCAATTTATACCTCCTTTGACAACACATGTGTTTAATTTTCCACTTTGATGCCTTCAGGGAAAAAAATACCTTAAAAACCATTTGATTGCTGCCAGGGATGGCAATGCAGAGAGCATTCTCAGCCTACCTACTGTACAAAGTACAGCTGCATAGCAGCTCCTGCAGCACCTCTACAAACACCTTGGTACACAGTAAAAAAATCCAAATCAGCTGGTACCTTCAGATGATAAAAGGAGTAGAGTTGAACTTCTGCAAATTGAATACCAGGAGCTAAGTCAGTCTTGGTAGCTGTGGCACAGATGGAAAGGCTGAAATGGCAAAGATCATCCTGGCTTGCTTCTTGTCTTTTCAAGAGTATCTTTCAGAACTGCTCCTGGACAGCATATTGTGAAAATCTGTGAAAGTCATGTACACAGAATGTGCTCCAGCTTAACTGCAGACAAAAAAAAAAGCTCTGGAATGAGGTGAAAATAAGAGGTCTTAAAAAAAAAAATAATTCAAGTTGCACACTGAACTAGTGGCACAAGTGAACTGTCTGGCTTGGATCAGATAAAATTACATCAGGCTATAGGCCCAGAGTGTGTCTAAGGACTCAGATATAAACATAAGCATCTGGAATCTTCTAACTCCAGAGATTTAATGTGCAGTTGGATCCAGTGTGGGTTGTAGTTCTTGGCTGGGTACTTAAACAAATCTCCCAAATTTGTTTGCTGGCTATAGTCAAGCTTAAGGAAAGAGAATGAAGCAGTGACCAATTCTGCTCTTGCACCATTTCATACAGCTTTTTGGGTAAAGAAAAATCCAGAGAATCAGGAGAGTGGTGTTTGAAAAATCAATTTCAAAGCGACCTGCAAAAATCTCCAATAAAATACTCACTATAAAGTAGAATGGATTCTCTATAGCATGAGCTTAGTTACTCACCTGTTGGAGGTGTTTCCTCACATGTAAGAAGACTCTAAGAATTAAAAATTGGGAAAATTTTAACAACTCTGTGTGGCTTCTGACCACTCAGACAAAAGCTAATTTACAGTTCTGCCAAATGCTGTCTGACTTAACATAAATACTGCATGCAATTAATGCTGACTTTTGATAATTTATCTTGCAAGACATCTGTAATTTGGAAGACATAATTTTGTTCTTCAACACAGGTTGATATACTTCTGAAATACTGAAAATAAAACAATAAAGAGCCAGAATTTCAAGAATATCTACTGACTGCACTGGAAGGTAAAGCCACTTCTACTATCTGTCTTGCTATGTGGCAGTGAAGATTTCAGGTGAAAATGTGGACAAGGACAAACCAAGTACATCACCAAATCAGTTGAATCAACTGCTAAACTGATTTCATTTCTTACTAAGGAAAAAGTCACACACACAAAAAAATAGAAGACACAAACCAAACAACTCCACCACCCTACACATTAGAATGTGATAGTAATCACTGGAGATGCTGGGATTCCCAAACAGTCCTGACTTCATTGACACTTAGTGATTAACATTCAAAGAGCCACAAAGGTCATTGTGCCACTATTCCAGAGATTCTTGAACCTGCACAGGCTGAAGGTGTTCATTTATAAAAAAAAAGTTTTCTCCCTCTAAGAAGAATAAGCAATTTGTATTGTGCAGTGACACTTAGCCCTCCTTTGCTGCGGCTGTGAAATGTCAGCACTACAAAGTCCCCAGCAAACAATAGATGCACTTTACCCCGTGGAGTTCCCAATGTGGCCTTTATTAAAGATCCTAAAGACCAAGATTGGGAATGGAAATGGCAGAAATCTGAGAGGGAAAAAAA